CCCACCCACCTCCTTCCCAGCCCTCACTAGGGGGTTCCACCTTTGACAGGCTGCCTGAAGGAGCTGCCAGCCCCCAGGGCAGGTCCACAAAACAGAAAAACAAGTGGCAAGCACAGAAGAAGAGAAAAACCACAAAAATCAGGGTTGCCTTTTTCTACAAATAGTGGAGGCTCCCAGCAGGGGGAGAAGCTATGTTCAGCTCAAAGCTGGACATTCTCTTGTGCTCAGCTGACTTCCCTGTCCCTAAGTACCCATGCTGAGAGAGCACTGGAGTGGTGTGCATGAGCGTGTGCGCGTGCGTGTGCCTGGGCTCGTGTCACACACACGTGCACACAGCTCAAGGGGTGCCCCTTCTCCTTGGGGGCTTCTCTCTGTTAAAAAAAAGGCCTGTGCGTACACACAGACACACACATACTAGATTCTAAGGGAAAGTAGGGGATAGGGGTTCCTGGAGGCTCACTGGACCCGGACTGGGGCGGAGGGCCCCCGCCCTGGGGCACAGCCCGGCTCCCATCACGGTGGCTCAGACGGTGGTGACCGAAAGCAGAGGGTTGTAGACCCGCTTGCCGTCGGCCGAGCGAGTGCCGTGGGCCAGCATCTCCTGGATGGTGATCCAGTTGTCTAGAATCTTCTTGTTCCGCTTCTTCATAGTTTTGCGGTGGCTCAAGGCGATGATGTTGAGCTCAGTCTTGCTGTCGCCGTTCTGCTGCTCCCTCAGGCACTCCAGCCGGCTCTGCATCATGAACTCGCGCCGCTTCCGCTGCTCCCGGGCCCGGATCAGGTGCTGCTTCCGCTCCTCCTTGCTCCAGTAGCGGCCCATCTTCATTTCACTCACTGCGTCGTCGTCAGTGGTCATGCCGCTGCGCTCCTCCCGGATCTTCAGGGCCCGGGCTTTTAGGAGGCGATCACGCACGGGCCGCTTGGCCACATAGCGGGTCCCATCGCTTCGAACCTTGACCTTCCACTCCATGCGGGGTGCTTCGGTGGCCGCCGCTGCTCCACCCACCCGAGGGCCACCAGCCAAGACCAAGGGGCCATGGCCCAGCTCCTCCAGGCCACGTGGCGGGGCCAACTGCAAGCAGCTGTGGTAATGCTCACTCTCCTGGCCCTGGCCTCGGTGGCGCCGAGAGAGGTAAGGGCTGCTCTCGGGGCCCACGCGCTCCAGGGTCACCCCCGTCTTGGGGCTGCGGCGGACACGCTCCTCTGAATGCTGTCTCCGACCCACCTCGGGGTCCCGAGAGAGGGATCGGAACTTGGAGGGGCTCCCCTGTGGAGGAGGAGCCGCCTTGGGATGGGTGGCGACAGGGGGACCAGCAGGGGTCCGGTTCAAGTTGGAGTTGCCAGCAGCGGCCCGCCTCAGGGGGCTCTCCGGCTGGGGCTCGGTGATCAGTGGCGTGCTGCGGCAGCTCTCCCCGGTGTTGTAGGCGCTGGTGCTGTCCTTGTCAGACTTCTCGGGCAGCTCGGAGATGTCGGACAGCTCATGCTTCTTGGGCTCGCCAGCCCCCAGCTCGTAAAGGCTCTCCTCCTCCAGCAGCCAGGCTTTCATGCAGCGCTCCCGCAGCTGCTGCATCTTCTGCGCCCGCAGGATGTTCCGGCACTTAAACTCCAGGTGCCGTAGCTCCTCCTCCAGCATGGCCATCTCGTGGCCCAGGCTCTCGTTGCGGTTGACGTCCAGGGCGCTGTTGCCGCCCGAGGCCCGTGAGAAGAAGAGGCCCAGCTGGTTGCCGTTCTCCAGGTGGCACTTGATCTCCAGCAGCTCGCGGTAGCGCTCATACTCCTCATCAGTGAGGCCAGGGACGTCACCACCCCCCAGCCCAGCCCCCTCGGCCAGGAGGGAGTCCATGCTGAAGTGGAAGTCTCGGCTCTGCAGGGCGTCCCCCTGCAAGCCAAACTTGCGCAGAGTCCCGGGCGTGTTGGTGGTGCTCAGGGGCTCATCCCCCAGCAGATCGTGCTCGGAGCTCTCCTCATTTCGGGTGCTCTCATCAGTCCGACCCACCCCGCTGTCCAGCTCCTGGCTGTTGCTCAGGCCTGGGCCCACATCGGGGACCCCTTGTTCCTCTTCGTTTCCAAGCTGGGGCAGAAAGATGAGTCCCACTCAGTCTGGGTCCCACTGGCAGAAGGCGCCGCGGGAGGGTGCGGATCAGAAGGGCTTTGGGGTCTGGTCCACCTCTCATGTACCCCCAACCCTTCCTCTCTATCCCCTCCCTGCTTACCCTCCCCACCACCTGCCCTTCCCCCCTTCCTCACCTGCTGGGCGGGGGGCGATTTCAGCTTCCGCACTCGCGGGTCCCCCTCATTCTCTAAGGCCAAGTCATCCAGTAGGTCATCCCGGTCACTATCCTTCCATCGCTTTGCCAGCTGCACAGACAGAACCATGCTGTCCCCACTGCCTCGAGGACGTCCCCAGACACCCCTTCAGTTGCCCCAAGGTCCCATACTCAGCCTCTTGGTCTCAATGAAGTTAACAAACCAAGAGAGGGGGTGCTCCCAGCCCACTCAGCCATCAGAGGCCAGAGGGGAAAGGGGCCCTGGGTCACCACCAGCCAGTCATCAGTGCTAAGTTATTAGCCCATCTGTGCCTTTGTCACATCAGCAGCTTCCGAGACAGAAAGCCCGATGTCAGGGGACCCAAGACATCCTGTCGGGCACACACACCTGGCTCTCAGGCCGGGCCACCAGCAGGGAGATGTTGGTGTTCTCCTCCTGGCTCAAGATGGCCACCGCTTCTTCCCGGTTCTGGACATCCACACCATTTATCTGTGGCAGGCCAAAGGACAGTCAACAAGGACACCGGGGCTGGTTCTGGGATGGGCCCTGGTTGAGTACCCTGGACTAGGACGGGCTTTTTCATGCTTTGGTAGGATGAAAAGAAGTGGAAGGTGCCTAGGGAGAGGACAGCCCGGCCCGTGCGTGCAAAAGTACACGTGTTCAAAGGACAGCTTGGAGTGGGAGATGTGCTCACATCTGGGGGATGGAGAGAGAGGCTTGCAAGGTGCCAGAGCAGATCCCATGGGCACGAGGGAGCCACCCAGGGCAGCCGTGAAGGAGAGATGAGACTCCGTGCAACCCAGCCCCAGTTTCAGGCGCGGCAGGGTGCCTGGCACCAGGCAGGACACAGCTGGGATCAGCTAAGGACAGGTGGTGGGTCGGCCGGCGTGGTGGGGCTTCAGGTCAGGCCTGCCCGCGCTGCTCACCTGGATGATTCGGTCTCCCTCACGGATCCGGCCGTCTTTGGCTGCAATGCTGTTGGGATTCACCTGCAAGGCACATACATCCTGGGGACTCGGCACCTCCGCTAAGGTGCCCTTCTAGTACGAAAGGGCAGCCTCACCTCAGGGGCCCCCAAAGCAAATCAAAGGCTCCTTATTTACTCCCTCGCTCCAGCTCAGACCAGCAGCTTCCAAGCTCCAAGAGGCGGGGACGGAACAGCGAAACTGGGACTAGTCATCTCTCCCCAACTCGAGATGCCAACTTGTCGACCAAAAGCTCCCAACCCCTGCCCTCCGCCCCCATGTCCACGCCCAGCTGACACTCCTACACTCTTTTGCATGGAAACCTGTTCTTTTTCGTGTCAGAGCCTAGGCAAATGTAGGAACTTGGCTACTATCCCCTACTTTGCCATACTCAAAGACATCGGCAGTAGGATATTCATACGAAGGCTAATTGATTAGGGTACCACTACCGTGTGGATGGGAGCAGGGGAGCCGTCCTCCCTCCTGCAGACACACAGACATCTGCCACAGACAGGTGGGGGACAATGACCCCCGTGGGGACCAGGACGGCTGGCTGCAGGTCGTGGGAGAGAGAACAAAGCCTGGCAGGGACCTTATCCTGCGCCTCGACCTTGCTCACTGTCCCACCCCGGCCACAGGTATACCGGAGAAGGCTGCCAGACTAGATACACACTGAAGCCATTGGCCGCCCTGGCCTCGCCCACCAGCAGCCTCCCTGTGATGCCAAGTAAGCCCTGTTCCTGACAGCTGCGTCATCAAGGGCGGCCTTAGAGTCCTGGGCAGTGTGGAGAGGATGAGGGGCTAGGATGAGCCAGCCCCCGCCTCAGCACCCGTGATGCCCATTCCTCTCACTGGTGCTACACAGATGGGCGTCATCAAAATCCAGCTTTGAGGTCCTAGCCCACAGGAAGGCAGCATGGGGCTCCGCTACCTTCTAGAAGACCCCACCTCCATACCCCACACCTCATACCTCTCCAACGTAGATACCCAGGTCCTCTTCGTCATCGGTGCGGTAGCAAACCATCAGGCCCAGCTTGTCCCGGTGGCTGGCCTTATACAGCTCCACCTCCTGCCACAAGGGGTGCGGGGGAAGCAGAGGAAGAAAGTCCGGAAAAATGTGAGCAAGGTCCCACGCCGCATGGGTGGCAGCCGCGGCCCAGCCCTGACCCACAGGGCTCGCTTCACCTGAGCCGAGTTTCTAGCCCCCGGTTCGAGGGTCTCGCTTACCATCCCCAAATGGCGCATGTGTCCAGTGGTCTTCCCTACCAGGAAATGCCCAAGACACATATAAGACATGGCACGTACAGGACACAGACGTATGCGAGACACAGACTCACCAACATAAACTGAACATGGGACCTCACCCGTGCCCTCCCTGACTCAGCCAGACTTGGCCGGTGAGCCTGAGTAACCAGCCACACACTGGGAAGGGCCACAAGGCCCAGCCACCTGGGGGCAGCAGGAGCCAGGCCTGAGCGGGGCTGCAGACAGCCGTCCTGGGGTTGGCACCCAAGGCTGGCTGCGAGCCCTAGCCTGACCTGATCGCCCGGCTCACCTCATACTCCAGCTCGTCCATACGGTCTGCCTCCTGCGGGCCGCCCTCCAAGAACTCCGCTGGATCATAATACTCATGGCTGATGGGGGGGCTGCCCAGGAGAAGCGGGGGTCAGGCAGGCCATCTGCTCTTCCCATGCCCTAGCCCCAGCTCCCAGGCTGGCCAGTCCCAGGGCACTAAGCATGGAGCCCCGCTCTGGGCGCACCCTCCTCAGGGGAGACAACCCGGCTGCCTCTTCTAGAACGCCCTCCTGAGCTACATGCATCCATGCATAGACCAGGAATGGATCTCGAACGGGAGTGTGAGGGGGTCTAGAGGTCCACACTGGGGACCCAGGCATGCCAACCCCTCCCACCCTGTCCCGTACCATCCCCTCTAACCGTGCCAGCCGGCAGGGACCGACTTTTCCAAACTGTGGGTGCCCTTCCCGCCCGGCATTGGCCCCACTCATGCAACGCCCCCAGGAGTTATCCAGGCCCCGAGGACTGATAGGGAGCAGGGAAGGACCAACTATATCTCAAGTAGTGGCCCTCCTTGCCCCGAGGCTAAGCTTGGCTGCTGGTGGCCCTGGGCCTACCTCTCTGCTACGAGAAGGGGGTCCCGGAACCCCCTCCCTGCAGCCGGGGCTTAGATAGCAGAATGAGTCCGCGCTCACACAGTCATGAGCCAGGATGAGAGGCCCTTCTTCCGAGCAGGCCAAAGAAAGAAGCCGAAGAGATGGAAGAAATTCAGAGCAGGGAGAGAGATGAGACAGACAAGGATGCAAGAAGATTCAAGAGATGATGCTCGTGAGGCAGAAGACGATGGGGCAGCAGAGGAGAGAGGATGGAGGAGGAGAGGACCTCAGCCTTCCAGCAGCGAGGTCCCTGGATGATCCTCCCTTGGCCCTGGGAGTAGATAAATGGGGAACCTGCATGTCAGCCTCCCCCGGCCCCTTCCCCGGCTGGTGTCCAGCCTGAGGTCACAGGCCCGGAGGTTTCTGAGCCTTTGGGTGCCATAGTCAGCTCCGGAGGCCAAGGAACCTGCTTCCTGCCCGAGACGGCAAGCCAGTCGGGGTCTCCCTGCCACAGCCAGAGCTGCAGCAAGGTAGCTTCTGGGTGGCATAGAGATGGCTGCCCCTGGTGGCATGTCCTCTCTGGAGGCAGGGCCCGGGGCCCTCCTGAGGGCGACTCACAGCTCAGACAGGACGTACGGCTCCAGGATGACCATGGGCGGGGTGGGCGGGCGCAGCTTGCCCAGCGCCATGATATGCTCGAACGTGATGTCAGTCTGAGTGCCACTGTCCACCAGCTGCAGGTCATGGCAGGAGCCATCCCCCCGGAGGCGGGGGCTTCGTCTCAGCACCTGGATCACCAGGGGCTCCTTGGAGGAGCGCAGGGCCTCCAGGGTTTGCTCCTGAGACAGCTTGGAGAGCTCCTTCCCGTTTACCTGTGGCAGAGACACGCCCCTGTGAGAATCCGCTGACTCACACTCCAATCTGCTGAGCCAAGAAATCCGCTTCCACCTTTGGCCCTGCTTACCCTTCGCGCTCTCATTCCCAGGCGAACCCCACTTCTCAGCCCTGTCCCCACACACTGCTGTCTGAGGATCACTGGGCCATGCCCCGAAGGCCGGGGAGCCCCAGTGACTGCGCACTGTGTCTGGCGGGTGCTGAGGCCAGAGCTAGCATCTAGAAGATTGCAGAATCCCCCTTGGCAATGCCTATCTGTTGTTCAGGAGGAAGGCCTTGACTCCTCTCCCGACGGGCGTCAACGAAGGGGTTCAGGCAGGAGGGTCGGGAAGAGTTAAGAAGATAGAGAGGAAATGATCTCTGTCCTCAAGGTAGAGGAGGACTCGCCAAAGAGAAAAGGCCAACACACGCAGAGCCTCCCGGCATCGCAAGGCAGCCCAAGGGTAAGGAAATGGCCCTTACACAAACACTGCCATTTCTCAGGCTCCTGATGTGCTTCTTCCCCACATCCTGATGCCTACGACCCATTTGACAGATGAAGAAACCGAGGCTCAGCAGGACAACAGGAGTGTGAGTTGATGTCATGAGCCGGGCCAGACCAGGCTGCACAGTGGTCAGACCGGAAGGGGGCGGGGAGCAGGGGAAAAAGGAGGAGGACAAAGCAGGCTGGGGCCAAGGAGAAGGTAGGACTGGAGCAGTCCTGAGGTTGGAACAGGATGATCCTGGGCAGAGGACGGAGGGCTTTCCCGGCAGAGAGCCAGGGTAGGTCCCCAGCTGGGCGAAGCAAGACATGCCCTCAAGGCACCTGGGAGCAGATGTCTGGCCCCAGCCCGGCCACTAATTTCTACAGCCTGCCTGCCTTGCACTCTGGGATAGTCACTTTCAGCATAGTGAACTCCACAGGACACACTGCGACCTCGAGGCCATCCTTGGCACAGAGGCAAGAAGACTAAGGACCAAACGAACGCAGCCAGAAGTCAGGGCATGTGTCATGCGGCCAAGCGAGGGAGAATCGGGAAGCAGCGGTTCCTGGAGGACGGGGACAGGAGGGTCTTCAATTCACTCAGCAGCTTGTGGAAGGGCTGTTCTGGGCCTGGGGAGGTCGCACACTAGCAGCAACACCCCAAATGGCTACCTTCAGCAGGTAGGTGCTAAAACAGATCTTTGGGGGCTGCTAAGGAAGCACAGAGGTGGCCACATACCTCCTAGGAAGGGGGACAGGGAAGGCTCCCTAAGCAGGTGGCACCTGCCTTGCATCAGGGGAAGGGAGAGGGCCAGGAAGAGCCAGGGAGGCTGGTTTGCAGATGCGAGCCAAGTCCCTCACAGTCAGCATGGAGAGGGCAGGTCCCAGGGACCCAGCATCCACCCATGGATGGAGCTTCTGCAGGATGAGAGGGAGAAAGGTCCCACTTGAGCAAGGAAACACGGGCAGCCGTGGCCAACAAGAGCCCTTGTCCGCTCGGCTAAGCTGTCCCATCTTCCCATTCTCCTTCCCATTCTCGCAGAGCCACCTCCCACCCCGGAAGTCTCAGGGGTATGGAGCTAGCTCTTCATGGAGATGCCCAATCCGATTGCAAAATCCTTTCTTCCCAGCTGCAATGTGACACAGCAGCCCCTGGGTGTCGTTCCAGGAAAGCAGGCTGTCTTAGGAAAGCACAGGGAGTCCTAGGGACCCCTCCCTGCGTGGCCAGGGCTCCTCTGAGCCATGGGACTTGAGGAATTTTCTTTCTGCTACGTGACTGTCCTTGTAGATGATAATTTCAGTTTTTATGTCTTCCCTCTCCCCAAACTTCCCATGGTCAGGTAAGAAAAGATAAGTTTTAATCAATTTTGTCTCATTTTGAAAGAAACACAGGTTCATCATAGAACAGTTGAAAAATACAGAAAACTGTCAGGTGCCTTGGGAATTTCTGCAGAGCAGCTGGAAGGAGCCCTGATGATCCAACAGCATCCCAGGCCCAGTGGTGGGCAGCATGGAACTGGGGGGTGCAGGGAATGGGGACTGGGCTCAGCCAGGGAGCTGGGAAGGTGAGGGAGGTGTGTACCCATGTGGGGTGGGGGAGGGGATGGAGGTGTAGGTGTGGCTTTGGCTGAGATGAGGGGCTCTTGGGGGTAGGTGTGTGGGTAGAGTGCATGAATTGGGTGGGCATGGCGGTCTAGATAGGACTGTGTGGGGTGCAGGGGTCTGGGTGCAAATAGATTGTGGTAGGTGAAGGGTAGCGCTTGGTGGCAGTGGAGGTGAGTCTATGACATCGCCTGCTTACCCTCACTGCCACAGATGCTGCGCTTTTCTGTCCGCTCATACATCCTTTCTGTGGATCGGAGTAGTAGGAACAGGTGTACTCGGCACCTGCTCATCATTTCCCTCCCCCTCCTGTCACCTATACCCACTCTAGGCCAGGTGCCCAGGTACGTCTATCTCGGCTAACGAGCCACACTCACTAGCAAGCAGACACACGCTGAGGCCCTGCCCAAGCACCTGTGCATTGGGAGCCATGTAAGGCCCAGCGAACACACAGGGAATGTGCTGAGCGTGCTAAGTGCATGGCACAGGTGGGACCCTGGTAGACCAAACACGTGGGCACCATTTCACAGCCATGATTTCCATCAGGCTCTGGAGGCCAACTGCAGGACTCGCCGAATACACTCACGCTATACCTCAATTTCCGACCTGAGGGCCCACCAAAGGTCAAGGGCTCAGGATGGGTATGGGAGGCCCAGGCTGGGCCAGGGGACAGCTTGGAGGGGAAGCCAGGCCCCAAGGGGCACCATCCAGCCTTCTCGGGGGCTCCCAGGAGCTGGTGGCCCTGAGCTCTGCTTCCCTGTCACGCCCCGCCCCCCCACACACACACACCAGGCAGGGGCACCGAGGGCAGGGCTTGGCTACTGCTTATATCCAGAAGGAATCCACAGCTATTTAGGCTCACGGGCCATGTGAACCTGGAGCGGTCAGCTTCACCCACAGCCCTTCCAGTTCAGGGAGAGTGAGAATTGCTGAATGAGCCCATTATCAGAAAACTCACTATTAAAAAGTGTTTCTTTCATCACGTGCCAACCTGCCTCTTTTGGAACAATCCAGAAGAAATCCACGTTCTCTTCCAACACTTCACATACCTGAAGCCCACTTGAACATCCCTCATACCCAGTTCCCAGTGGCTCTCACCTCCTCTAGCGCTGTGGGCGGGCCGTGCCAGCCTTGCCAAGTGCCAGGCATTTTTCCTTGCCGTAGCTAGAAACCACCTTTTGGCAGCCGGTCCTGTTGGTTCCACTACGCGCTTCCCTCACCTAGGACTTCATGCTCTCTGCTCAGAGCCTTTCCACACATGGCTCCTTTTCCTGCTGCTGGGATGGGCCCGAGTGGGCTGCCCCATGGACCGCAAGTCCAACCCAATCCCAGATGAGCCGAAAGTCACTTCACTTCCACCGGGGACAGGGGACTCAAGCCTTAGAGGCACCCCTTTGCCCAAATGTGGCCCAGATAGCCCTCACACTCTGCTTGAGGACAGCCTGGTTCCCGTTATCCATTGGGAGAGCACTCACTACCCAGTCTCCACAAGTCCTACGCACAGTAGCCACCTCCAGGACCCATGGCACTCTGGTGTCCCTCATCCTGGCTGACCTCATCACCCAGTCATACATACACTCAGTCTAGACCTTGCCTCAGAGTGGAAAATGGTCATCTTTCTGGAGCAATCTGTCGATAACTATAAAGGAGCTTGAAAACATTCATCATGCCCTCCGACCCAGTACATTTGCTCTAAGTAATAGATCCTAAGCTAATAATAATAGATATTGTGTAAATCATAAAGACGTTAAGAACAGCATTATTTTTCTTGTGGTAAAATACACCCAACACAATATTTACCACCTTAATTTAACCATTTTATAGCGTACAATTCGGTGGCATTTAGTGCATTCACACTGTTGTGCACCTATCACCTCTAATTCCACATTTTCATCCTCTCAAAAAGGAGACACCCCCACACCCATTCCTCCCCATGCACTCCCAGGCACCAGCACCCACCAATCTTCTGTCTGTCTATCTGGACATGTCAGATAAACAGAATCCTACACTATGCATCTGAGTGGCATCTTTCCTTAGCAGGTTTTCTAGATTCATCCACGTTGCACCAAAGCATCAGTACACTTCATTCTTTTTTCTTGGCTGAGTGATATTAAGTCGTGATCCATAACATTCTGTCATATGGATAGACCACACTGTTTCTCCATTCAACCGTAGGCGGACATTTGGGTCGTTTCTACCTTTTGGCTCCTGTAAAGCATGCCGCTGCGAGCATTCACGTACACGTCTCTGACTTCGTGTTCGAGTCCCTGTTTTCAAACCCTTTGGGTTTATGCACCTAGAATTTGGTGCATAAACCGTCGGGCATTCTATATTTAATTCACTGAGGCACCGGCATTATTTTTAATGCCAAAAACTTTACAGCAATCTTAACTTTAAGTGTCTACCACAGTCTTTAAATAACAAGCCTGTTTCTCAAGAAGATATAAAATGACACATGAACCGTGATGGTTACCATATAAAATACATGAATGGGAAAAGGCTTGGAAAGAATATAAATATAGATTTAAAAAAACATGGGCAAGGGAAACAGAAATCTGAGATTTCTGGAAGCATGGCTCTCAGGGAGCGAGAGGCAGCCCGGACCAGGTGGAGGCAGGGAAGGAGGGGTGTGCTGGGACTTCGTGCTGCCACTTCGTGCTCGCTCAGAGTGCGAGGGGGCTCCCGGGACTTTGAACACTTCTTCATGGATGCACGTGTGATATATAGTCATTGGCATGTACGTATGTATCTAATATTATGCAATACTTTCTTCGAAGACTAGAAGAAAATTCACGAAAATGAAAAATATTCACAGTGGTTATCTCTGGGAGATAGTATTTATGTGATTTTTCTTTTCTCTTTTGTTCTCGATGACATTTTCTCCAATAAACATTATTATTATTATAATTAGAG